GGGGGTTTCTCTGTGAGGAGAACGAGCTGTTTGCCATTGCCGGGCTGAACATTGAGTTTGATTCCTCCTCCCCGGTTCTGTAAATGGGCTCCTGGGGTCTTATCCAATAATGCTTTTCTTGGACGAGTAGAGGATTCTACCAACGATGGTTTCCCATTTGATCGAGCTGGCTCTATTGCGGCATGTCGGTGGCGTTGACAACGCTTGTGTTATGGACGTACCCAAGAGTTGTTTCCCCGCGGGGAGAGGAGTTTTGGGAAATGATCCGTTGTGTGCGAGCTGGTTTTCGTTTTTTAGTTTTGCATGAGGTGTTTTAGGTAGCACGGAACGGGCTGCTAGCATGAGGGGCACTAGACTGAGTGGACGCCACCTGCCTCCATGATGAAACCCGATGTTCTCTACCGGCTGCACAACAGCGGCCCTGTCTGCGACACTCGGTTCTTCTGGATTATGACAAATAACAGAAATAAAATGCAGTGCCGTCATCGCCCGCTTATGTGGCCCACTGTAGAATTGGGTGAAATATATTTGCGTTGGTAGGCTGCCGCCGCTCCCCCTTAAGCTTACTTGCTTTAACATCCGCTGCCCCTAAGGTTGCTTCCCCCCATTACTTTACTTTTTTGGTCCGTTCGTACTTAGCTACGGCGATATCACTTCCATTTCTTTTCTATTCCACTTCAATTCGTCTCTTCCTACTGGAGCACTGCCCGGACTCACCCACACCGGGCTCTGCGGCTTTACCAGATCTTGATTTCTGCAATTTTGAACCCCACCACCTCCGCTATCGTCCCACATCCGTAGGATTCCACCTCTAGAATCTGTCTTGTGGGATTTGGGACACGCCTCGATGGCCAACCTACAGCGTCACCCTTCGCTCCGATTCAGCGTCTTTGAAGTCGCACACGATATAGGACTTGAGAATCGGGTACTCGATGGTAATTTCGATCCAATAACAGAAGAGGACGAAAGCACTGTACGTTCCCCTCCCTTTATTTCTCCCCTAAGACCTTCGTTTCACCCCGCTGATCATTCCTTCGTTCAATGCAGCCATCACCACTGCGTCAAAGGCAGACACACTCGTCGGATGAGCTCACAGATTCCCCTTATCCTCGTACTCCCCCGTCCTCAAACGATGTAAGAGAACGCCGCTGCCTTGAGCAAAAAATGTGTGATTCTGACATTTCGATTGAACGTTAATCCGTCCTTAGGTGCAACTTCCTGGACCGCGGCATCTTCCACCAACCAGAAAGTTCAGCGATCGCCCCCCGTTTTATTGAGGACTTTCCGAATCCTACAGAACCGTTATCGTTGACCCCAAAACCGACGACGCCCCGTACGCCTCCCGTGAAATTGAAAAAGCTACATCATACCCCAACTGGGAACTCACCGGGAACTGACTTTCACCTGGATTTCGCCACTGATGTGGAACGCAAGTTTAAGAAAAAGGGACTCAAGGAAGACTTGAACCTCGACAAAGACTGGGTCGCCATCGCACAGCCCGACAAGAAAATCAAGGAACTATCGTTACCCAGTCGAGACCACACCAGGTCTACGCCACCCATGAGTCCTCCAGAGGAAGAAGAAAAGAAATTATTGGGAGGACTCTTTCGATTTAGGACCAAGTCCAGAGAACGTAAAGCGGCCGCAAAACAGGCCGTGCAACAAGTCGCTCTGGAACCTTCAAGGAGTAGTCCCGTCCCTCGGGTTCATACACCGCCACCTCTCCCTATTGCCGGAAAGTTTGCTAGGGCGACCGAGGATGTATCCTTCCGCCCACAAGTCAGAGAATCAGGCTCAAGTCATGGAGGAGGTACAAGCGTCGGCCATGGAAGCAACACAAGCACCGACACTCATGATGTCTACCCACGACCGCGAGATCGCTCCTCACGCTACGAGAGACCTCACCCGGTATGGAGAAATGGGCCTTCTTCTTTCGGTCATTATCGGAGTTCACCGTCTAGAGACACTGAGGAAAAAGTCTTGCCAGAAGAACGGCACGCATTCCCTCCCAATCAGACTATTTTTGACCGAGAACCCGCTAGACTGGCTCGTGTCAATGAGAAGGAGGAGAAGTCCAATAGAATAGACATGGATGCCGTTAACAAGTACTATGGCATCACACCCACCACCAAGTCGTCCTCTCCCGCGGTATCACCAGAGAGGCTACCTCAGTCGCCTGTGACGAAGCCATTGACGTTATCCAAGCTTGAATCACAGCGGTCTCTGGAAAAGATACCACCGGTACAGATGGAGCCAGCGAGAAATACTCCTTCTCCGTTACCTAATGTTGCACCCTCTCCTCACCCCGAACGATCGCAATCTCCGGTTCAGCCGAGGGAACCACGGGGAAGAATGCGTATTCCACCTGCCCTTGATGCTTCAAAGTTACCGCCGAAACGACTCAATGGGGCATTCTACCCACCTCCTACTCCACCACCAACCACAGAGCTTCCTCCAATTCCCCAGCAATTGACTGTGCCAGCAGAGGCTCCTGCCCTTCTATCACCGGGAACTCCGAGTGCTATGCGCTCCATACCACCTTCCCCTCTCGGAATGCGCTCACCTAGTCCCAACCTTAGGGCGACACCATCTCCTGCAGGTCTCCTCTCCCCGGAGGACGCAGGGCGTCCCGGGCTTGTACCACAGGAGGGAAATCGACCAGTTTCACCTATGCGGTCTGCTTCACCTATGCTGCGTGGCAAAATGCCCGCGTTCCCATCACGGCCGATCACACCCACGAGGCAGCCACCTACGCCCTCCCCCCAACCTCATCAAGAACAACCAGAGGTTTACCACCGGCCAAATCACTCTCAACCTGAGAGAAACACCTCACGTGGGCCTAGCTTTGAGAGGGAACCCTACCTGAGACCGATCCGCAGTGAGCAACAAATGCCTCCACCATCAAATCGATTCTTCTCGCCTCTTTTTGCTCAGGGTTCTGAGCCTTTAGAAAGGACTTCTACCGAAGCCAACCCTCCTGTGCGCAAGAGGTCGGTTCGTCGAACCAACAACCAATCGGGCTATGATTCGGACGATGCCGAATCCAGATTCTCTCGAGATACATATTATGGGAGAGACACTGCCTACTTTGACGATTCGAACCTCCCACCGCTTCCTGGTTCCGTCCCACCTGTGCCAAATAGAGACTTTGGAGACATGGAAGACGAGCGGAAGGCGGGACGTGAACGATTGGTTCGCATGTTGACTTCGCAAAGGATCTAAACCAGTTATATATACAATGCGCTTCTTTCTCCGGGATTTTCTTCATGGCCATTGATACCGCTCTTTTTCCTTTTTTCCTTCTGGGGCCTTTTTCCTTAGAGGCCGGGGGGGTTTTTTCCGTGTGGTTGGTTGGGTTTTTCCCCCCTTGGGGAGGGGGTTGTTTTTTTTTTTTTTTTGGTTTTAAAATTTTATTTTTTTTTTTTTTGGGCCAACTTTTTTTTTAAAAATTTTAATAAAATTTTTTTTTTTAAAAAAAAATTTTAAAAAAATAAAAAAAAAAAAAAAAAAAAA